GGGTCAAGGAAACGTCCCCAGGTGTGCCCAGGTGTGGCCCAGGTGTGCCCCAGGTGTGTGCCCAGGTGTGTCCCATGACCCCCAGGTGTGTCCCCATGTCCCCCAGGTGTGCCCAGGTGTGTCCCCAATGTCCCCAGGTGTGTCCCCATGTCCCCCAGGTGTATCCCAGGTGTGCCCAGGTGTGTCCCATGACCCCCAGGTGTGTCCCATGTCCCCCAGGTGTGCCCAGGTGTATCCCAGGTGTGCCCAGGTGTGTCCCCATGTCCCCCAGGTGTGCCCAGGTGTGTCCCCAATGTCCCCAGGTGTGTCCCCACGTAGCCCAGGTGTGCCCAGGTGTATCCCAGGTGTATCCCATGTCCCCAAGGTGTGATCCCATGTCCCCCAGGTGTGCCCAGGTGTATCCCAGGTGTGTCCCATGTCCCCCAGGTGTATCCCAGGTGTGTCCAGGTGTGTCCCCAATGTCCCCAGGTGTGTTCCCAATGGCCCCAGGTGCCCCCAGGTGTATCCCAGGTGTGCCCAGGTCTGTCCCATGTCCCCCAGGGTGCCCAGGTGTATCCCATCTCCCCCAGGTGTGTCCCCAATGTCCCCAGGTGTGCCCAGGTGTATCCCAGGTGTGTCCCATGTCCCCCAAGTGCCCCCAGGTGTGTCCCCATATCCCCAGGTGTGTCCCCAGGTGTCTCCCTGTGCCCCCAGGTGCCCCCAGGTGTCCCCAGGTGTATCCCAAGAGTATCTCATGTCCCCAGGTGTATCCCATGTCCCCCAGGCGTGCCCAGGTGCCCCCAGGTCTGTCCAGGTGTGTCCCCAATGTCCCCAGGTGTGCCCAGGTGTATCCCAGGTGTGCCCAGGTGTATCCCAAGAATTATCCCACGTCCCCCAGGTGTATCCCAGGTGCCCCCAGCTGCCCCCAGGTGTGTGCCCAGGTGTCTCCCTTGCCCCCAGGTGCCCCCAGGTGCGCCCAGGTGCGCCCAGGTGCGCCCAGGTGAGCGGGATACAGTCCTCCAGGTCGACCTCCTCGGACAGGTTCATCTTGCCGGTGATGGTGGAGAAGATGAGGCGTTTCTGGCGCCGGTCGGGCAGCGGGAACTCGATCTTCCGGTCCAGGCGGCCCGGGCGGAGCAGGGCGGGGTCCAGGGTGTCGGCCCTGTTGGTGGCCATGATCACCTGGGCGACAGGTGAGGGGTCACAGGTCAGTTTTGGGTCCCCCAGAACCTCCGGGGTCATGGGACGCCCCCCCCCAAGGGACCACCAGGTGTCCAGGTGTCGCCAAGGTCGGTGGCCACCGTCACCTGGGGGACAGGTGAGGGGGACAGGTCGAACCTGGGGCCACCTGAGCACACCTGGGACCACCCAGAACCCACTGGAGACCTCTGGGACCACCCTGGGACCACCCAGGGCCAGGAGACCCCCAGAGCTCCACGTCCCCAAGGTCGGTGGCCACCGTCACCTGGGGGACAGGTGAGGGCTCCAGGTCACCTTGGGGACCACCCAGGTCACCTTTGGGACCACCTGAGCATACCTGGGACCACCCAGAACCTCTGGAGACCCCCAAGACCACCCCAAGACCCCCCAGGACCACCCAAAGACCACCCAGGGCCACGAGACCCCCAGAGCTCCACGTCCCCAAGGTCGGTGGCCACCATCACCTGGGGGACAGGTGAGGGCTCCAGGTCACACCTGGGGCCACCTGAGCACACCTGGGGCCACCTGAGCACACCTGGGACCACCCAGAACCTCTGGAGACCCCCAGGACCACCCCAAGACCCCCCAGGACCCCCCAAGACCACCCAAGACCACGAGACCCCCAGAGCTCCACATCCCCAAGGTCGGTGGCCACCATCACCTGGGGGACAGGTGAGAGCTCCAGGTCACCTTGGGGACCACCTGGAACCCCTGGAGACCCCCAGGACCCCCCCAGGACCCCCCAGGACCCCCCAGGGCCACGAGACCCCCAGAGCTCCACGTCCCCAAGGTCGGTGGCCACCATCACCTGGGGGACAGGTGAGGGGGACAGGTCGCACCTGGGGCCACCTGAGCACACCTGGGACCACCCAGGACCCACTGGAGACCTCTGGGACCACCCTGGGACCACCCAGGGCCAGGAGACCCCCAGAGCTCCACGTCCCCAAGGTTGGTGGCCACCATCACCTGGGGGACAGGTGAGGGGGACAGGTCGCACCTGGGGCCACCTGAGCACACCTGGGGCCACCTGAGCACACCTGGGACCACCCAGGACCCACTGGAGACCTCTAGGACCACCCTGGGACCACCCAGGGCCAGGAGACCCCCAGAGTTCCACGTCCCCAAGGGCGGTGGCCACCATCACCTGGGGGACAGGTGAGGGCTCCAGGTCACCTTGGGGACCACCTGGAACCCCTGGAGACCCCCAGGACCACCCCAGGACCCCCCAGGACCCCCCAAGACCCCCCAGGACCACCCAGGGCCACGAGACCCCCAGAGCTCCACATCCCCAGGGTCGGTGGCCACCATCACCTGGGGGACAGGTGAGGGCTCCAGGTCACACCTGGGGCCACCCGAGCACACCTGGGACCACCCAGAACCTCTGGAGACCCCCAGGACCCCCCCAGGACCCCCCAAGACCCCCCAGGACCCCCCGGGCCCACCTTGACGTTGACGTTCTGGTCGAACCCGTCCATCTGGTTGAGCAGCTCCAGGAGGATCCGTTGGACTTCCCGGTCGGCTGAGGGGGGGACAGGGGGGGACAGGGGGGGA